AAAAAAGCTTAAAAACCTTCCCCCCAATAATTACATACTTAATGCTGATTACATTGGGTCTGTGCTCTCCGTATTTCTTCAGGAGAATTTTATGTCCACTGATCAGTGGGGACTGTCAGACTTTTTTTTAAATTATGTTATTCACCCGTCAGTGAGTTCTGTACTCAAATATCTTTCCTCTTGTCATTTTGGATACAGTCCACAAAGTCCCAGTCCTAGCTTCTGCCTCCTCTTTTTCTTTGCTGGACTTTCTCCTTGCACTGAACTTTGTGGCTTGTGATCTTCCCCAAGTGTTCCTAGGACTCCTTACTCGACTGCAGTTACTCATTTCTGTACTCTGTATCCAACTGGGTTTTTTAATTTGAGGGAAATTAGTTCTTTCACGCCTTAGGTTGCTCATCCTGTTTCTTCTCTTACTGGAAGGCAAGCATATGTGTATGATCAGAAGCACACACAGGAACGAATGCTACTTTGACTAAACACTACGCCCTCAAGGCAGTACTGCTCTCACCAGCTAGCAAAATTATCTGCTAAAATATTACCATAGCATTATATTGCATCACCTACCCTTGGAATTGAACTGGGATCTTCAAGCAAAATTATGGGATATTAGAAACAAACCCCATACAACGGAGCCAAAAAGGTATGAATGTTACAGAACAGAGTAAATGAAATAGTATCCCATACAGTGGGACTATAGCCACTACGAGAGAAGGGAACAAGGAGAAGAAGCTAAGAGGCAGTGGTGGAAATGGGCAAAACACAGAGCTCTGCCAGAGCCAACACCCAACTGTACCTGGCAAACTCCACCTCTACAGCTCTCGCCAGTGGCTTCAGACACAATTACAAGACACAACCATAGAATCATTATGGTTGGAAGAGACCTCAAAGATCGTCAAGTCCAACCGTATACCCGATGCCACCATGCCCACTAAACCACGTCTTGAAGTGCCACATCTAAATGTTTTTTGAACATCTCCAGGGACGGTGACTCCAGCACCTCCCTGGGGAGCCTGTTCCAATGCCTAACGACTCTGACAGTTCTTTGTAATGTCCAGCCTGAACCTCCCCTGGTGCAACCTGAGACCGTTTCCTCTTGTCCTAAAATGACAGACCTAAGGAAAAATGACCTAGTTCTTCAAAATTCTTAATCCATTACACAGACTGAATCTTATTTCAGGGGCGGGGGGGAACACAAATGCAACGGTTCTGAAACAATTCCTGAGACAAAAAGTACCTACCAAATTTCAAGACTCCGTTAAATTGGAGAAATTATATTCAGTACCGAATCTAAATCTGGATAAAACTTACAATGCTGCAACTGGAACCAAGAAGAGAATCTATTCCCAAACTGAAGAGAAAGATTTTGTTGTTGTGATTATCAGAGGCAAATACAACCCCAGAAACATGCAGCTCTGGAACCTGCACTCCTGTATGCACTGTATTAGGGTCTATTCCGATGTCGTCTTATTCACATACACTCAAGTCTTCAATGATATTAATTTCAATAGTTTGACTACTAATTATTAACTTAAGGAAATGAAAGATGTTCGCAGCTTTGAAGATCTGAACATGAAAAATCTCTTATGCAGTAAGTAGTATAATTAACCCCCTTCACCCCAGATTGTGTATTTATATAAACACACACTTCTATGACCATATTATATGCATGCAGACATTCCCTTATTTTGTACTAATTGAGTAGAAGCCCCCATGTTGCTGCCACATATGATCAAGAAGTAAATCACAACAAGAGGAAAGAGTCAGCACAGGCTGGCATTCATACTGAATCGCATTTTAAAACAAGGAAAAAGAAAAAAAAAAAGAGACGGTCACATTCCAACTGAATGCCCCTTTTAAATCTCCAGCCCCATCCCAAGTACTGCTATTTAGAACTGACTTCACAAAAATGCTATTCAAAAAGAAGTAGCTTTGGACTAGAAGTCCAAACCAATTCTGACTAAGTTAATACAATCAGATTTTATCTATATGTACGCATGCACACACATGGTCTTTACCAGATGTCAACGACATTTTAACAGGTATTACAACACTGCTCAAAGAGCACACTTGATACCTCAGAAAATGACATCTAAACACCTCCTATGTGTAATATCCCATCAAACCAGACGACTGCTTACAATTTTGATGTTACAGTGATCCAACTGGTTAAAGAAACAATACAGTTAATGTTTCACAACAATAGCCAATTTCCTTTACTGTCACTGACTAAAAACAACTTAAAGACACAATCATAAAACTAGCATACTTTATACAATAAAAAAACCAAAGCAGAGGTAAAGTTTCTTAAGTTTCACCTAGAGTGATTATCTAGGAGATTTTTTTTGTTTCTTTTCTGTTGGTATGGTTCCCCAAGTGAACTTCACGAACTGCAGAAGATACTAATTTTGTGATTTAAGAATGTGACCTAAAATTATCTGCTACTTTTTTTTGTAGAAAGGCTTTCAGAAGCACAGTTAATGCATATGTGCTCTGTTTATGAAGTGCACAGACTTCATGGCAGGAAATAATCTGCTGTAGACAGTAAGAATTTATGTTCCAAATCAAACCGCTCCTTTCTCCTCTCTCTAAAACGCCACTGAATAGCACAGCTGTTACAAACACAATATTCAAATCCAAGAACTCAGCAAACATCTATTTCTCTGCCATATTTTTGCTGGTATTAAAACACATACAAGGCTTTTGGACCCTCTGCTAAAACTGCATCGCAAAACCAGCCAACAGGTCATCACTGTTTCTTAAGTCTTAAACCTCGGTCTGACATCTCGGAAAAACTTCAGTTCAGTATTATCTAGTATTAACTGCAGTCTAGTTGTTCCATTATTACTACAGTCATGAGTTTACATTAAGGTTTATGAGGGATGCTTTTACACACTAAAAACATCTCAGCTAAATAGACAAGGAGACAGTTCTGAGTATTTTCCTTTTCTTCCTGCCTTCAACCAGTTTATTGTTCCTGGCAGAAGAGTCTCTTTTCCCCTACCTTTAAAACAATATAATTAAAAGCTTTCTGGCATTCTGAGAGGAAAAGGTTCAGAACTGCTTAAAGCCACCTTCTGATTTCTCCATAGCGCCTGCCAAACAGAATTTTTAGTCAAGCCATTTACTACCTACAGCAACGTTGTTCAACAAAAATGAGGTGCTTAGAATAACAAAATAGGGGTAATTAAACCAAAACAAAACAGGATTCACTTCAGTTGACTCATGCCTGCAACACGATAGCATTAAACAGAAAGCTGTTTATCACAACTTCTCCCTCCTTGAGCTCTCTCTTACAAACAATACAATTGCTTTGAACCTACTTCCACATCCAAATTACTTAGCTGCTCTATGATATTGACTCCACTAGGATTTGGTATCAGGCTGACTTTACAGACCAGAAGCTGAACCTATGCGCAAAGCAACATGGAGGAGCAGAAATGCTTCTCTTCATTTGGAGAACAAACAGCTTTCCTCCCTCGCACTTCTATCACCATTCCTCAGAAATGGCTATTGCCTGTGTTCTCCAAGAGTTCTGAAAGTTAGGATAACCCTTTACGAATATTTCCAAATTTTAAGAAATGCAGATGATCACTTTGCTATCACTTGCCATCTTCCATCTATAGATTAAATCCCAGACCTCTGTGTGGAAAGAGAATAAAGGCATGGACAAACAAAAAAGCTTAGCCCAAGAGTATTTTTTAAATAAAAACCCCTTATGTGTGGATCACCTAAATATTTTACCATTTACAGAAAGTGGTACTAAAAGTAGGTCATCTGAAAGAAAACAAACACTAAGGGGTTTCAAACATATTTTGTCTTGTTGAATTTTAATTTGTCATTGCTTCTGACAAAAAACTACCTTCTTTCCACCTATATTGCAATGTGAATTTGCAGCTTGATTTTTCAAACTAGGGTTGGAACATAGTTATATGTCTTACTTACATAAGTGATAGTTCAGTATTTGATAGTTAGGTTTTTTTATTTATAATATTATGAGTAAAGTTTACAAATATGCCACATAGTGTTGCTGTTAAAACAAAATCTGAGTTCTCGGAAGAAACTAACACTATAGAAAACAAATCAATTATGCTTCTCTTTGTTTAAGCAGCATTAAGAATATTCAAGATATCTTTACTTTAGTCCATCACAAGAAGAAAAAAAAAAGCAGGGTGGAGATGAAGCAAAAAGAACAAATATCCTGCAATAATTTGTCCTACGTCTAACCTTCAAGAGAAGGTCATGGTTCTGTCCTGTACTGCAAGCAAACATAGAGCCCCAAAGTAACAACTGCTTCAGCACGTGCTCACCAGGAAAGTACATAGCAAAAGTTTGTGAAAGACTTCTTTAATCAAATTCTGGCCTCAACACTCTTCCCTCAAGGTGATACAGGGCATCTTCTACGCAAATTCAAGGTCTGTCCCAAAGCTGAGCAATCTACATCATGTTAACTCAGCATCCCACTTCTTATACATAGGAAATACTAATTTTGTAAACTTGAAAAGCTCACACTCCTTTTGTATCACTCAAAAGTAAAGTGAAGGGTGTACCATTATAAAGTTAAGTACACACAAACGTCCAGACTTTTACAGGGCTAAGTTACAATTCACCAACTGTCTAAAAAGCCTACTACTTATCATGTCAATTATGCCGTAATTTCACAAATTTGTTTTGATCTCAACATTTTTAAAAGAAAGATGACAATCAGTAGAGTTTGTTTTACATATTCAGAGTCCAGCATGTATTCTTTAAATGAGAAAATTCTCTCAAACTGTTGATAACACCCTGCCAAAAGTGACAAGCTGGTCCTGATCACATGGAACAGCTTTGTGTTGTGGGGTTTTTTGTCTTTTTTAAAAAAATACACTACCTTTTTTTTTTTCTTAAACAAGCTCTACCATACCAAATGCGTGTCAAAAGAGATATCACAGCTTTACAATACAAAAAAAGTACATAAAATACACTTGTATCGGACTTATAAGACCGCAAAGCAAACGTACCTGTGTTCTGTGAGAACATTTACTGCTGATGGGTGGTTGGCACAGTATGCAAGGTACAAGCTTTTCATTTGTGGCATCAAATTTAGAAAACATCCTCCAACTCTCTGCTGAGCTTCAGGCAACCTAAAAACAAAGTAGTAAGGATGAAATCACTGTAATACCAACCAAACACAGAAATAAATTAAAGCCTGGAAAAGCAGTGTATACTGGGGTTTTTTTGTTTGTTTTCATTTTGTTGTTGTGTTTTGGTTTTGGTTTGGTTTTTTTAAATAAAATCAACAGATAGACTTCTATGGCCCCTGACCAGCAACCAACACCTTTCTCTTCCTTCTTTACAGCTTCAACCTTGGAACTGTCAGGCCAGATTATGCCACCAAAGTATACCCAGAACATGTTACATACCTCTAAGATGGTCACTGAGCAAAATTTTTTCAAGAACTAGTGATAATTAGCACCTTCTTTAGGAGTCTGATTTTCAGTCAACATACCTAACTGTTAGAGCAGTTTACTATCCACTTCTATGTGCCATGCCCAATCTTAAAAGCAGTATTTCAGCACTTAGACAAAAACTGGATAGAGTAGCAACAGGATTCTCTCCCTCTACCCTATACCAGCAGAAATGATAGGCTTAAAATATTCATTGAAAGAACTAAGTACCATATTAAGCTCTGACAACACAAATAGAAGCGAGTTACTGTGCAGTAACAGGCTGTTTTTACACAATTGTCACTCATTTTGCTTTTTAAGGACTATAAAGCACTTCTATGTTGGTTTGTAACCAGGGCGAGAGTGCTGCTTTATCACTATCAGTACAGAAATACTTTCTATAACTCATACTGTCTTTATCTTTCATGCTCGAATGCACAGCATTTGCTAAGCAGTGAAGGAAAATTTCACAATTCTGTTCAGAAGAGCTTATTTTGTCTAGCATAAAATGGTGCTTAAACAACAGCAGCCTCGGTGACTTTGGCAAAAAAAAAAGATGACTCAAAAAGAAACAGTATTTAGAAGAAAAGCCAACTTTGACACAGTCTTGGTAAGCCTAATCAGTTCTGATCGAGTTTGTCAGAGGAATATACACATACTTAGTCACATAAATAAGGGAGGACAGGATATGAAGAAAAATAATATGAAAACACACAGTGTATTTTTCAAAAGTTTTCAGGAGAAACTGTCATCTCAAATTGCAGTAAGAGCGTATCTGGAGTATAAATATCTGAAATCGGCTGCGTGGCACCAGCTTAGAACTGGTACAATCAGCAGAAAGGAAAAGTCTGACTCCTTATTTTGCATCTGTGTAAGCAGGAGAAAAAAGAAAAATGCAACTCTTCCAGTCTTATTCTTAGTATCCCCTTAAGCTGCATACTTCAGATGCAAATAAAAGCACAGTCACATACTTTTTTTAAATCTAAAGTAATTTTCAAGGTAAACACAAAGTGATGGGAAGGAGTCTATACTCTAACCAGCCATGTTGCTTTACTGCTACCATATCACCATTCTCAGAAACACTCAAAAACATCCACACTAGATTGCTTTCCATGCGAGAAAGAATAAATTGGACAAACAAGCGAACAATATCATAAGGATGTCAGAAGGGATGAAACCCTATTATTTTCTACAGAGCAACTCCCAGTTGAAGGACTAAGCTTCTCCAGTAGTCGGTTATATGGCCCATAGCCGACTGTATAACCCATGCTGACCTTAACCAGAAGGTGGGACACCAAGTTTTCATCACTCCTGGACTACAAGCTTGTCCGACACCTTGTCTAAACCCACCGTACAACATCAGCCAGAGGAAATGTTTCAATTTCTCCATATGTTTCCTCTCCTTGCAGAAAGAATGCATCTCCTAACATAAACATGCCCAGTCTTTGCTTCTTCGCAAGATTAGGCAAACAGTGGATTTTTGTCCTTGTTGTTATCCATCTCACTACTCTTAAAACCAGTATTCCACGCTGCTCTGAAGTTAGATGAGTCCGCAGTAAGTACTCAACAGACTTACTGTTAGCGCAGTCAAAGGGTTTCATGCTAACATTAGTCCTAACAATTCTCTCTGGAAGAATATAGTTTTTCTAAAAAAAATTTTTTTTTTTTAAAAAGTCAGTATTTTCTGTAATTGTCCTGAACATGTACATAAAGTTTCTAAACACCAACATTTAGTATATTCCCTTTGAAAAAGTGAGAGATGCTCCAGTGAACTTTGGCAGAAAAGAACCGTTCAGCTTTCCAGGACAGCCGCTCCTCCAGGGAGGGGATGTTCCCATCCTGCTCGAACACAGGCATTTTGTCCCACTCCTCAGGTTTGCTCATAGTCGTTAAAATTCAAAGTTCATCCCAAGAAATATTCCCCCAAATTTCAAAGCAGTAAGTCTGTCTCCTATGAAACTGTTCAGTCCCTCCATACGGTGTGGGAAGACAAAGTATGAAGACAGTATGAAGTCAAAATCGACTGTACAGGGGTTCAAAGTGCGAGGAGGGGGAAACACGTGTCCTTCTTTGGGAAGGACGTTCGTTACGGACACCCAGAAAGTGACAGCTGAATGCCCATCAGGGCAGGTACACCCCGATCCCATCAGCGGCACTCCTCACGTTAAAGGCGAGGGCCCCTATGTTGTTGTCCGCATCTTCCCCTTTCAAGAAAAGTTTAAGTTCTGAAATCAGAGTGGCTGCTCTTGCAGGTATTTAGGGGAGAACCAGGGGCATTCCCCAGCACACTGAGGGAACGCTACTCTTGCAGCCCCCCAAGCAGCATTCCCTGCCCAGCAGCTAGTCCCCTTTAACAAATCTATGCATGAGCTAGTAATACATTCCTCAAGTAATAAATGCAGCAAAAGTCTCTAACTCTGAAGACATACTCAGGCATATAACTCGGTATTAAATAGTAAGAGGCCCCGATGAACAGTTGCTGAAAACGGTTAAATCCCCTTTTCATACTGTGGTGCTGGGGGGGGAGCGAATGATGGCTGTTTGCACCAAGCGGACATCTGTGTCTCCTCAGTCGGCTCTTCTTTTAGCAGAATGAAAGACTGACATTATTCTCTTTTATACGTTGCACATGCATTGCAACTTTATACTGCATATTCTTTGTTGAATTAAGATAATTAACAGACTTTATGAGGGGGTGGCAACTCATCTCCTTTGACATTTCTAATCCATGCGTTAGTTGCAAGTGTTCTACTATTTTTACAGGAACAATTAATAAATTATCTGTATCTCCTTTAACTGCTGAAAAACCAATGATTTAATGCCTATCACCACATCATATAAACCTTTTAGTAATTAATGTGTTCAATAAAGAGCATAGTTATTTTACAATTTATTCTGAAGTTGTCATCCCAATATTCTTCTCATATTTGATACTTTAATTAAAAAGGAATCGCATATAAATAGTATATTTATACACATATAGATGATAATAACTTCAGTTATAAAAAGGTCAAAGGCGTGTTTTAATTTCATTTACAGAATTAAAAGAATCATAACAAAGCCTCTGCTGTTGTACACAGGCTAGAGGTATCATCACACAACTACATCTAGACTACCTAGCAGATCATCTGCTTGTTGGAGCAACATTCGATAGCTATCAGTTCTGTTTCTCCAGACTTAAAACAAGTTCTTGCTGCATGATAATTTGAGAAAAGGAAGAAAGAAAATACCTTGTTGCTCAATCACGCTTACTTTACGATACTGGACTAAAGCTAGACTGGCAGCTGACAGAGAAAGAGCGACGTTACAGAATACCTAATTATGTCCTGCGTGTTCTGAAGAAATCTGCCTTAGTTTTGGTGTCAGTGGACATTACAATGGTCTGCAAAAGGCTGTGGAAACTGTGAATAGTCCAGACAAATTTAAACACAGAATAAGGGAGGCAATTTTAAAAGAAAAGTAGATAGCAAAATGTAATCAGCGTTTGTATGTCTTCTTTTTGCAAGGACAAAATCAGATGTCCCTAAATTTCCGTTGACTGTGTGGCTACGATAAGTGTCATACAGCAATCTATGTACCTATATATATACGTGCGTGTGTATGTGTATAAATACATATACGCACACATACCCCCCTGCAGAACTTGCCACAAACTGGAAACTTTTGATTGTCTGGGGAAGACTAAAAACTGCCACCCATCTCCTCCCACAGAAAGATAAAACATCAGAATTTCCAGCCCCTCTCTCAGTCTCTTGAAGGAGCTAGAGCATCAAAGATAAGTTTGCTATGTTTGCAGGTCAGTAGCGAGATTGTCTTGAACTTTAAAGCTGATAGCAGAGAAGACCCAGGACAACTGAAGGTCTGCAAAAATTAAGGGATAATTGTTGATTAATGACTCCAAGTGATGCGGTTTGTGAAGAAACACAAGATTAGATGTTACCTCCTGAGGTTTCAGAGTTAACAAGGTTACTGAAATAAGGGGGACACTTTGCAACTTTCTGAGCTAGTTTGCACAAATGGAGGCACTATTCAACTTATTCACAATCCATCAGTCTAATTTTCAATGCTCTATTCACAACCATACCTTTCACTATTTGTCTTATTTGCCTTACCTCTCAGACACCAGCTAAAATGCATGTTTGTTTCGGGCAATCTGAAGACGCTGCTTTCAAACGCACTTGACCTTGCTAGCCTTATTTCTGTTGATACTCCCAATAACCAAAAGCAAGGAACGACACTGGGGTAAAACTTTAACAGACTTAACTTGTATCTGCACTCCAAAACCAAACCTGAAACACTGATTAGTTTTGGATTACATTTAAGCAATCTCCCTTCTCACACCCTGGCCTCCTCCTCCTTTTTTTTTTTTTAAAAGAATTCCCATTCCACTCCAGGATCATCCCAAAAATATGAAGTATCCGCTTGCACTCAAACACAGAACAAGATAAAGAAAAATAACACAGCTACTGTGACTGCAAGAGCAGGGACATGAGGGAAAAAAAAAAAGAGGGCAAAGCCCTGTTATGGGGCAAGGAGAGAAGTCTGTGACACCACCTAGAAGAGAGCCAATGCCTTCAGGTTGCTACAGAGGAGATAGCAGCTAAGCACTCCCTGCCCGCTGATGCCATCAGCCTGGGTACTGAGTACAGTCACAGACTAACAGGTGAATGGAAGAAATTTTTTTTGGAGCAGGAGACATCTGTTCAATGCCCTGCTGTAAAAATACCTAAAGAGCAATACTTCCAATAGAGATCACTTCGATCAGCCCGGAGATCACTGGACAGACACTGACTTCGTTCATTCAGAGACTCCTTGTCCACGTGAACCCCTGCAGAACCGATCTGTGGCACTGCATCACAGATCTGCAAAAAGACCTAGAGCACTGGACCACTTCTTGTCTTCAAGAGAAGGGAGCACGGAGACCTCTTGCTCTGTTTTAGAGTCAGAAATCTGCCCTTTTGCAACCGAAGACTCTGGCAGCATCTCTCTGCCTCGTCAGTTACAGCTCTTTCCCATCCACCAAAACCAAGCGTACTTGAAGCTGATCGTTCACAAAAAAAGTGCTTTTGAAGCAGATCAGCCAGAAGATTCTCACTCAATGCTAGTCAGACTCCTTTCACACGCCACTTTTCTTTGGTAAACGAAGAGAAGAAGTCACAAAGGTAGAAGTAACCCCAAAGCAATCTGTTTGATGGTGCCCAGCATCCAGACAAGAAGCGTTCCCAAGCCTGTGCCAGACGGAGCAGCCCAGAGGAGCACCCCAGTGACACTGCAATGGAGGCCAACCTGGGCAAGTGCACAGAGGACAAACCTTCAGCAATGCACCAGAAGAGCTCCAAGGTTGGCACACAACTAAAACCAAGCCGCATCCAAACAACTACTTCCCTCAAAACACATTATGTGTTCTGAAAAAAACCACAGCCCAACATTTAACAACATGAGGATTAAATAAGCCAAAGTGGTGCAGGCAAGAAGAGAAGCACCAGAAAGTCTCCGTCACTGAAGTACGTGTCAGGATCTGTTAAATGAAAACTCAGAATGACAAACTGACTCGAGAGGGGCGTGGAATTCAAAAGCCACACAACTCTCACGTCCAAGAACAGGAATTGTCAAGCAAGGTAGGCTGGCAGCACTACAACTGGCAGGACATCGGTATTTGGTCATTCTGACAAAACACCCCACCGGATGCTGCAATACGAAGTGCCTGAATGATAGAACAGTAAGCTCTCTGCCAAAAAACAAAATAAAATGATAAATCTATTTTCAGTCTGGGAACTACTCTGAGTTTACAGAACAGGTTCACTAGCCAAAAAACCATGGCAAAAGGACAAAAACCCACAGCAGCAGGGCAAGCATTCTTCTACTTGACGGGAATTATCATGGATTAGATTCAAAACAGGAGGAAGCTGGACGCTCAAGTCAATATGCTATGATGAAAATTAAACTGAGAATACAACTTGGCATGATCAGCATGTTATGAAAATAACACAAAACATTTGCAGTAACCCTTCAGTAACCCTCAGGCATCCCTTCCTCTGCCCACTTACTAGCATCTGTTACGTTCCTAATTTATTATACAGCAATATTTCACTTCGCAGGAAGAATAAAAGGACATTACGAGAAGGTGCTCTAGCAGAGTTTAAATCAAGGAAGGAGTTCTAAATAAGCTTTCTGAGCTTTAAGCTACATTTTGATATCACACTAACCTACATACCAAGTTAAAACAAAGCTTGCATTAATATTTGTTTAAAGGCATATTCTCTTCCACTCTTGTTTTTAAGACCATCCTAATGAAAAGGTTTAAAAGATGACAGCCTGTTCATGCAAGGTACTTCATCTCCCTAACTCCTGATTCACAGAAACAAGATCATAGTAACAAGAGTAAGACAACAAAGCGCAGTGACAAGAAAAGAAAGGAAACATTTAAGTATGTGGACAAACTTATTCTCAGGGATTTAGACACTTAACTGATCAAGCCTAACTTGCCAGAAGGGATATCCTTCTTTCTCAAACACAACGTGGAAGAAAGGTCATTAGAAGAATGTTTCCTTTCCACTGCTGAATGGTCCCCTGAACTACACCAACCTCCTTTCCATTCTCTCCAGTCTAAGTCGTGTAGAGGCAAAAGAGAGGAAGAGATGCCAAGTGGTAGGAGGACGTGGGATCCACCATCAGCAACAGACCCAGACATACATTACTGCCTTCTGGAGACACAGCTTAAACTTCATCATGACAGAGCTTCCTCTTCACATGGAGCAGCTCAGAGGAAGAGGAGGGAGAGGTCAAAACAAGACACACTGAGCTGATCTAAAGATCACTGCTACCAGAAGAAGTATTTTCTCCTCGATCCAAAACATTCATTCCTTCCCACAGCCAAGTACTCTCAGCAGACCGAAACTTGTCTAAGCCCTCAGCAGCAATTCAACTTACTAACTTGGCAAGAAACAAGCAAATTTGGATTAGCAAGTTGCCTTAGCTCACCATGTGGTCAGACAAAACCACAGCCCAGGCAAGGAAAAGGACACAGCTGAGTCAGGAACGGGATCTACACTTTCAGTGGAGTTTTGAAACAAGAAAGTGAAGACAATTCAAATGTGATATGGTCACCTTCCTTCTTACACTCCCAAGTGCTGAGGTACAAGCTGAAAAATACCCAGCTACCACTTCAGCCTAACCTATGGAAGGAGGACAGGTGTCTTCATCTCCTCCTCTCTGTGCTTCATGCTTCCTACATGGTACGGTGCAGGCATCAAGGCTATTTTTTTTTTTTTTCATTCAGATTGCTCTTTTTGCCTATCCTGCATGCCTCTCCCAGCACATTTTGACGACCACCATTGCTCAGGACAGAAGAACACTAAGCACAAGCATTCTCATACAGTGCCCTTCATCCAAGCCGCTTACCCCCTCCTCCGCTGCTCCATCACAATGTAAGTTCCCTTCATTCTTTCTCTTACTTTAAGAAAAGAGTTCAAATTCATGCTTCCAAAACAAAAATACACCACTTTCCCTAGCACTTCCCTGCTGGTATGCAACTGCACCATGGAAATTCATAAATTTTTTTCAAACTACGTCAAAATTCCTACCTCTGCAATTGCATCCTAGGGTCAATATCTATCTGCGCAAGCAATCAATGCATTATCCAAACATTTATTACTGTACTGCTGTAGCAACTACCCTTAAAGTGAGAGGAACAAAAATTAACACCAAACAACAAACATGACAAGTAAAATAAAAAAAAAAAAATACTTGCTTGTTAGAATTTTACAGTATCTGGTATGCATAGTACTTACTTGGTGCATTCTTCTAAAGACTGTACAAGCATTTGCTGGAAAGAACTTATTTCTTCCAGGTTTCCCATTAAGTATGAAGTATTTGCCGAGTTTAACCTGGAGCCAAAGTAAATAAAAGGTGTTTAGGTTTGCAGTTATTGACTAATTGTGCTTTAATAAAACCTACAACCTTAAAAGAAAATGCTTACTGGTTTTTATACCAAGGACCAGACTGTTTTAGTCAGCAAGCAAACTGAATAAAAGCAAGCCCTGCCTCAAGAATCTCAGTCTACAAAAGAAAATGCATATTGACATTGAAATTTTGATCATGTAAACCTTCCCCAGTACTTGAGAGATCTCAAGCTTAATTTTAAAAACAAAACAAAACTCACATACTTTTCACTGGCTTGTAATGGTCGCAGGTAGTTTGAAAGCATAGTTTGCAGCTCCTTAGCATATTCATTTTCTGTTTCTAATATATTTTGTAGCACCTACAATAAATGACAGTTGCTAATTGATACTTTTTAAGAGATAACTCAAAACGTTCAAATCAATACCAGTTTTAAAGCATACTAAAATTTACTTAGCACTAGGAAGATTTAAATTAGTATTCCTACATTAAAAATTTAATTATCAACAAGATAGCATTGAATACTATACATCTATGAAATTCACAGGGAAAAAACCACCACACACAGACAATGAGCCATCCTTTAGCCATATATAAAAAAAAGTGGTATGTTAACAGGAATTTCACTACACACAAAACTTTTACTGTAAAATTTGAGAGCTATACGGAGTTTTCTTCCAAACCTAGGGACAATTATCTCTCCTCTGTACTTCAGAACAGTCAAACATCATCAGAGGTGGGTAAAGCACAACAGAAGTTGTAAGAGAAATGAACAATTAGTGTTGTTTTCTCAATTGCAACTACAATACATTACAACTAATCTTGCTAGTAAAGCGTTTACTTATTCAGATGCGCTGTTCTATCTAGAAGGTCTGAATATTCACAGATTTGTAAGTATCAAGTAATTGCCAACTTTACTCAGCAATACGATTAGCATCATTGCACTCTTTTTAAACGGGGCTGCCTAACCTTCCACTGGGAGTGCAATAATACATACTACCATGAGCAGATTACAACGGATTCTGATGCAAAGCCAAGAATTTATGAAATACAGCACACACTTGGTTTTCGGCTGAATATAAATAAAAACAACTGGAATACCCCCAAATATGTACAAGAAAACATTTTACTGGGCCATCTCCCAGGAGCCTGCTTTAGGATATCCTCCAGTGTATTTACATCGTTCTACCGTGCTTCTAGTCAGCAAATTATTTTTTGCCTCCAAAAAGTTAATGATTTAGCAAGTGAATCATCAGAATGAAATGTAGTTCTATGAACACAGCTGAGCTTTGAAAACTTTTTTGCTATTCACTGGTCATAACCCACACCACAAACCTTCTCATTTTGCCAGATGCCGTATTTGTCAAGCCTACAGTAATATCTCATTTCTGCATTTATAGTAACGACTGTAATTGAGTGCATTATTCACTGTTGTAGTCAATACTCTTTCTTAGGAAATAAAAAAAGCCATTCATTCCTAAATGCAAACCTGATGAAATAACTTTAAATAGTTCAGTATGTCAATGAAGAATTCACTGTTCCTTTCATTGGTGTCATTGATTCTGCTTATTCCTTGAATGCTTCTATTCATCTGGAGAGAGGGAGCGAGACAACTTTTGAGTTCTTTCTTTTGTTGGAAATCTGAATCCTGAACTAAAGATTAAAATGTCTCCATTCTCTGCTAAACACTATGACAGAAGAATGTCACAGCGAAAGTTATAGCTACTAGCTAGGAAACTACAGCATAAAGTACAAAATGGGCACACAAATTGTAAGAAAGCTAAGGGATTTTTCACCACTTAGACCGGGGCT